ATAAATTAAATAATAATTAACAATGATAACAACAAAGGAATAAAGGAACTATATAACTACCTTCCGTCATAAATCGTGATAAAAGATAAAAAAAAACACACATACACACACAAACAACACATACAAACTTATAAACCACATACAAACCACACACACACACTCACACACATTAATAAGCATAAAAAATTTTTTATAGACATTCATTAAGAACTTATTTTAAAATTAGAAGTTAAATAGTAATATTAATGATGAATAGTATTGTAACAATAATGCACACATAAGAACATACTAACATGCAAGTAAATATATACATAAATACACACACAAACACACTCTCAAAGATACCCACGAACACACACACACGCACGCACGCACTTTCACCTTGTATTTTATTACAAACCAGATGTTAACTTGTGAAACAAAACATTTGAGAAAAAACAAAATAAAAAACTAAATTCTCCCAGCATGCAAATCGGAAAATAAACAAACACAACAACAACACACGTTTAGACGACATTTTCCCCGAAATCGGGGGTTGCCATTTGGCTACCTATGATGAAACCGAAATACCCCTCGACGCCATCCACATCTGTCACTCGCCTCAGTATCACGCAACTCCGCTTTCATCCTGTCCTTCTCCACCTGCTCTCTCCATCCCAATCGCGGACGACCCCTTCCAACCACTCCTTCAACCTCGAACTCCAACTCCAAGCCTAATCCCGACCCTTTCATCCCTTCTCAACACATGTCCATACCACCGCAATCTCGATCTCCTTATCAATGTCACAATGTCCTCATTCAGTCCCATCATTGACATCAGCTCTGTACTACACCTCCTATCCTTCACTTTAACCCCACACATCATCCTCACCATAGCTCTTTCAGCCCTCAGCAGTACACTTTCCTCCTCTCTCATCAACACCGTGCTCTAACAATTTCACACCCCTATATGACCCACAATCTCTCACATCTCCTTTGCCCTTATACAACGGCACCAACACACTGTGTCGCCAATCCTCAGGTATACCTTCATCATCAACCATACTGTTAGCAATTCTCATCATAACTTCAATTCCTATCACCCCACTCGCTTTTATATGTTCTGCCGCCACTTCCGAAACTCCTGTCGCCTTACCTAGTTTCATTTCTCTAACTGCTTTCTCTACTTCCTTCATCGTCACCTTCTCTATAGGTCCGTGTGTGACCGCGGATTCCACATCTCCATCCCACTCATTCTCTTCATTCATCAACCTTTCCATATGAGCTTTCCACACCTGAGCCTTTTCCTCCTCATCTATGCACAACTTGCCAGATCCATCCCAAACACATCCATTCCCTATAACATCTTTCCTATCCCTCATTGACTGCTTTGCTACTTTGAACATTTTCCTCGAACTCACATCAAATCCCATTTCCTTCATTAACCTATCTGATGCTTTCGTCATTGCAGTTGCCACTGCCTGTTTTGCAACCTTCTTAGCCTTCCTATACTCAGACTCCGCTTCCTCCGTCATGTCCCTTCTTCATACCCCAAACCTCTCCTTCTTGACCTCCAAAACCCTTCTTATATCTTCATCCCACCACCACGTCTCACCATGCCTACACTTTCCTTTCGTCCATCCACATACTTTATCTGCCGTAGCCAACACACAGTCCCTGTATCTCTCCCAAACATCTCCATCCTTACCACTCTCCCAATTTTCAGCCACCTTCACTTCAAATGCCTTCCTCACCTCTGCATCCTGCAACTTCCATGTCTTTCTCTTTGCCACAAACTTATCCTTCTTCCTCCTCCACATTTCTTTTGATGTCACATCCATCACAACCAAACTATGCTGCAGCATACCAGGTATCGGAAAATAAACAAAACAAAAAAAAATGATTAAAGGTAAACAATAACAAGATAAAAAAAAACATACAAGAATAACAATAACAACAGTGTGTATATGAGTGAGCACGTGTGTGTCTGTGTATCTGTATATACAACACACTCGTACACATGCAATATAGGCTTATTCCAAATAACAAATGAAAAATTGAAAATTTAAATAATACAACGCTAAACAAACACGGACACACACGCGCGCGCACAAACAAACATACGTACGTACGCATACATACACGCACACAAACAAATAAAAAACACAAACTCAATAAACATACAAACAGACAAACATACGTACGCATACATACACGCACACAAACAAATTAAAAATACAACTTCAATAAAATTCGTGTCTTTTATTTTATTTAAGGTACGGAAAATTGAAACACTAGTCCATCATAGCATGATAAAAGGGTGATGCCAACGATACTGATGTCGATGAAAACGAGTTTTACACACGCACACGCACACACACGCACGCACGCACACACACACACTTAAACAAAGCAGTTAAAGATTGATTTTTAAAAACAAAGTAATTTTTGAAGCTGTTTAAGTAACGTCAAGTAGCAATAAAACCAACAGTAATAATACTTATAACGATAATAACAATGGCACTGAACCACACACACACACGCACGCACACACGCATTGAACTACACACACACACACACACACACACACACACACACACACGCATACATGTATAACTATAAAAAATTTACTATAACATAAAAAAGTAAAAATACTAAAGCAAAATGATAAAATAAATCTAATCCTGTATATATACAAATACGCGTATTTGTATGTGTGCGTGTGTACGCGTGTAAAAAAAACATTTATTTACATCACAAGAAATACAAAAACTAAATAATAATAAAAACATTAATTACACTAATAAAAACATTAATTACGTCAAATAGTACTGAGATAAGCACACGTAACTTAACTTATATATTAACACACACACACACACAACATACATCAATCAATTATATGCATGATTGAGAAACTTCTAGACCAATCCAGCCAATCAAGATGTCAATCAGTCAGTCCTTCCAACAAATCAATAAATCAATTTTTAAAACAAATAAATAATCAATCAGAAGCTAATGAACTAATTTTTTTTTCATTTTTTTTTTATAAAGAATCAATCAATCAGCCAACCATTCAATCAATCAGTCAACTTGCCAATCAATCAGTCAATCAATCAATCAACCAACCATTCAATCAATCAGCCAACCATTCAATCAATCATCCAGAAACTTTTGGCCACCATCAAACGGTCGCGGCGCTTTGTCGATCGTAAGCGTCGCTGTTGTGGCCAGCAGCGCTTATGACGGCTTCCGCGGCCACCAGACTGACTTCGCGCGAAGTACGTTTTCAAGTCTACCAGCAAGCCAGCCAATCAGCAAACTGCTCAGTCTACTTGATTTTGATAACTTCTCTACTCATCATACCCACCATCATTTCACCACCGTCACAGCATTCGTCGTCAAATCCGTCATCCTTATCATCGTCTTCCTCTTCTTCTTCATCGTCGCCATCCTCATCGCTAGAGGGTCTTTTCTTGACAACTTCGCATTCACTCTCCACTTCGCTATCTTCGCTGTGATTGGCCGACGAGCTGTAGTCCGATTGGCTGCCACAACTCGTGGTGTAGTCTGATTGGCCAGCAGTTTTGCCGGTGTAATTCGATTGGCTACAACTATTTACCGGAAGATTTGATTGGTTAGTGTTAGTGGCAATATTAAGTTTAAAATCAAGGTTAATATTATTATAAATAGGGATGTGCGGTTCAACAATATTTTTATTATCTTGATTATTGTTCATTTTATTCTCAATGTGGTTGATGGCCTCAATTATTATGCCCAGATTCCCCGGATAGATTTTATGATTCGATGATGACGACGACGACGAAGATGATGTTGATAATGATTTCGACACCAATGATGATAATGATAGCGATGGTTTCGGTATTGATGATGATGACAACGATGGCGAAAATGGCGAAGAGGAATAAAACAAAGATTTGGCGGCCGTTACTTTATCATTGTTATTATTATCACTATTATTATTATTGTTGTTGTTATTATTATTGATGTTAATGTTATTGTTGACGTTGTTGATGCTACCAAGGACGGATATAGGTAATGCTATCAATCTGGAATACACCAGTGGTGACAGTATATTGTTATTGATGGCTTTGAGAATGTTAGTGTTGTTATTGTTGTTATTATTATTGATGATATTATTATTATTATTGATGATATTGTTATTATTATTATTATTAAAAGAATTGTATATGCTGTTGTTGACGTTATAATTGTTGTTGTTTAGTGTATTTGTTGTTGTTGTTACTTGCGATGATGGTGATGTTAGGTAATTCATGAAAAGACCACCATTGTTAGCTAATAGCAATGGGGCTGTTGACGTCGTTGTTGTCTTTATCTTCGCGGCTTCAACATCAAAGTTGAATAGACTTAAACAATTATTGTTAATGTTAGCTAAGTTATTGTTGCTGCTGTGCTTCGGAAGACTGCTAATTGGATCAGACGGGGGCAGAGCCAATTTGCCACCACAATCGAGTTCAGCCAGAGGTCTGGTAGCTACGTTGTTGTTGCTGATGGTGACATCATTAATGGAGTCAGGTACGATGTTGTTGTTTATGATGGTGTTGGAATTGTTGACGTTTTCAATGTTGCTGGAGTTGTTATGGCAGTTTTCCATTCTGCTCTCCATTTTGTCGTTGATGTTTTTGTTGCAATTGATGTTGTTGCCGGGAAGTTTCCTCTTCTTCACAATCATAGCCGGCAATTCTAGATCTTTGGTATCATACCCCAGTCTCCGGCAAAACTCTCTCAACTGATCTCTCTCCCTAGTCAGGCTGGCTATGTAGATCGTCGCCTGCTGCAATATGGCCGCCTACAGAGGTACAAATTTTGAAAAATTTTTGAATTTTGTTAAATTATGGAATTTACATAGCGCCGTCTTTAAAGAAGCTAAAACATAGGAAGCATGGAAAAATAGAAATTTTATTTAAATAGTAAAATTTTTACAAGCGCTAACTTTACTAATTTTCTCGTCAACCAAATTAGGCAGGAGAGTACGTAGGGATTCGAACCCGGTATTGATTTGTTTCATTCGCTTCCTCTCGTTACAATTCGCTATCTGTCTACGCATCTTTCGGTCTTGTCTGCTGCAATCCGTCCTCAAACTTTTCGAGTTTCTAAGTTCAAATTCGTAAAAAATTGTACGAATTTTTATAAAATCGTAATTTACAATGAATAAGCATTCTGTTTTTTGATAGTTTTTCCGAACACTTCTCTTCAAAATCGAGTAAAATAACTTTAAATTCAATTTAACGAGCAGAAATGAATGACACATGTATGCAGTATGCGTGAGACGGCATTTAACTTAACACGTGTTATGTAAGAAAAACTAACTTTCCTTCGCATTTCAGCGAACATTCGACCATGAAATCCTCCACGAACATCTCGGCGATGAATAAATGAGACCTTTGATTGAAATTTCGCTTAAATTTTCGCGAAATTTGATGAAAAAATCATCAAAAGCACGCAAGAAAATTACACACTAATCAGCTGTAGTGTATAGTGTCGTAAAGTAGTCCCAGACCCAGGCTGTGTATTCATCCGCCGTTCAGACACTGTTTTGGCGGGCTACATTTATAATCATCTGGCATATTGCCAGGGTCACATTTTTCCTAATTTTACATTCCCAATGAAATTCCAATTAAGAAAGTCATTAAAATTCTAAGTTTAATTCATAGCATACATCAAATTTTGATTTTAATTCAATTTTAACGTGAAATTTGATTGGAAAGTTCGGATTATATCGCCCGTCTGACGTTTCCGTCTTCTAATTGCACCACGTCGTTACTAATCTATCATTAAGAAATTTAATACTTACACACAAATATATATATATATATATATATATAGATAGATAAATATATATTTATATATTTACAAATATATATATATATTTACATCTATATATATACATAAATATATTTATTTTATACAAGTATATACAACAAATAAAATATATATACATATAGAAATATGAACGATATAGAATATTCATGTAACTTAAATATATACATATTTAAATATTTGTAGTGATCACGTGTTGGTGAATAACCTTTCTTGCCGCCATTTAATAGTTATGAATCAGGTATTTAACGGCGTTATCGTTGATATTGAGCTAATCGGAAGTACTAAGAATTGTTATATACCCATTTTATAGAGAGTGAGAGAGAGACAGAGAGACAGAGAGGGAAACATTGCCAAATTATGATCTGCCTCTAACTAATAATAAAGTAATAAAGCAATTAACTTTTACATAATCTAATTAGGTAGGAACGATAAGAAAAGGCACACAAATACACACATAGGAGCGGATTTAGACAACTATGATATAGGGAACCAACAATTAAAAAATGTTAAAATTTTGAAATTTGTCAAGAAACATCGGGTTTTCCCACAACTATACCTTATAACTAGAATAAATATAACGGCCTTCGCTCACTTTTAACGGTCGAACAAGGAGCTTACTTCCGGAGGAGATTTGGACGGTGATTTTTTATCGTTCGAGTCAAAAGTTACGATCAATCGGTCGGGCTATTTGTCGTGCTTGGATTATTGGCTTACGAAATTGCATGGATTTTAAGGAGCAAGCTATATGAAATATTTCCTTGACTTTATATGCTTAAAACATTGTAGTAATTTTATTTAATAGAATTATGTATTATTAAATATTTTTGTTAATTTGAATATAAAAATTGCTTTTGGTCCGGTGAAATCCGGTGGCTTGCTGAAGCCGAAAGTTGGCTTACTAGGATTGAACTATAGTCACCCTTTTTTTACACTATTCGATCATGTTAAAAATTTGTTTGCTTATGAAATAAACGGCCTAAATAGATCAAAATTGTTATTCGAACAACTATCTTCATTATATTCAATGAATATTTTACACTCTGCTGGTGCTCATAGAAACTGGTTGCTGAAATCAAATACGTTGGCTTACTGCAGTGGCTTACAGGGTTTCATAGAACTCTAAGGATAGCGGTTTTTTGTACATATAATCCTTTAAATAAATCAATATCTCACAATTATTTTTGTCAATATAAATATAGAAATTGCTTTTGTCTGGCGAAAAATAGTGCCTTACTGAAGCCATAGGTTGGCTTAATCGGATATTTTTTTCATGTATACAATACTATGAGATTAATCAATCAATCAATAAATCAATCAACCAATCAATCAACCAACCAATCGACCAATGAACCAAATTGAATGAACTAAATATAAACGAAAGAAAAAATAAAAAAATATTTTCAAGGCTTGTTCAAACTTGAACAAACACTTAACCGTACATATCTACAAACAATTTCGAGATTTTAGTGAAGAATGAAAAACACAATAGTTGCTTTTATTTGAATTCCTTCAAAAATGAAAAGTGACGGTTAATTAAAATTTTAAAAAAGTCAATTTTTTTAAATTCGTATTTTAAACAAAAAAAATACAACAAAATATCAAAAGTTAAAAATTTTATTATGCATTATTATTGTTATACATACTCCTTAGTGGTTCTCGGAGAATGATTTACCTAACAATAACATTTAGTAAGAACAGTTCACAGCATATCATAATGACTAAATCAACATACCAAACAAAAGTTATTTATACATGCATATATACAAAGTAAATCAAGAAATATCCAAAAAATATATAACCAAATTAAAAAATCTAGAAACCAGTCAACATTTAATAAATAAATAAATAAATAGACATTATTAAAAAGAGTGTTCAAAAAGGTAAAATATAAGGCGACGACGAGAATAAAGTGTAGTTTGTTTTGTTGGTGTGGTGCTGTGAAGCGAAAACAAACAAACAAATCACACAAAACTAGTAAGAAGTTGCAAGAATAGTAGTCAGTCACCTACCTACAATTAAATTACTCTCAGGGCCCTAGCTTACTTATAATCATTAACTCAACTCACTTACCTACAAATTTGTATTTCTACGTTTTAGGAATTTTACTCGTTTCAGGTATTTTATTTAACACATTTTAGCATTTTTATTTTACTTGAAACTTTTTAACTAATGTTAAGCCCTAACCTACCTATGATTGTTCAACTCATCTCAATCCCTAACTTACCTATGAATTAAATTAAGTCCGGTAAAGAAAATAGAAAGTTGAAGAGAAACATAACAACAACGACACTGAATGAATGGATGTTGTGTATGTGTGTGTTGTATTGATGTGTGTGTGTGTGTCTGTGTAAATGTGCGGGCGTGTCCTCTCCAGAAACTTCTTCACTCAGTCGCCTCCATTGCACCGACCATCATTAACTGAATGATTGAACGATTGGTTGAATGAATGAATTAACTATTTAATTAATTAATCAATGATTTAATGACTGAATAGAATGAATCAATGAATCAATTAATGGAGGAATAATTTGAAAAATGGTGATAAAATGTACGAATGAATGAGAAATATAAAAAAAGAAACTAAACTATACTTAAAAAATCGTCGTTGTTGTTTTCTTCAAATTGTCATCGGAACGATCATCATGAGACCACCATCTGAAACGTGCTGACGCCCACCACAGCCCACCTCTCATCATTCTGTAGAAAAGTTTTTTTTATTAGCTTAGTAGTAAATCAAGGAACAAAGAAACGAACGAATAAATGATTAACTGAATGATTAAAAAATTAGTTAAAAGAATGAATGAATGAATAGAATAAATTAACGTCAATTAATGGAAGTATGAAGAATAATTTGAAAGATTGAATGAAAAAATAAATAAATGAGAAAAATAAAAAAACGAAACTAAACTTTACTTCAAAAATCGTCGTTACTGTAATCCATTGCACCGACCACCACATTCAGGTCGGCACACAAGATTTCACCCAAATTTCTGATTGTCAGTCGAACAACCAACTAGCTGATTCTTCCTACACCCCCATCATCATACGTAAATCATCATGAGACCACCATCTGAAACGTGCTGACTCCCACCACTGCCCACCTCTCATCATTCTGTAGACAATTTTTTTTATTAGCGTAGTAGTAAATGAATGTTAGAATATTAGAAGCAAAAAATTATTAAATAATATCTGAAAAAATAAAGAGATTAAAATGTAAAAATGACTTACCGTCGTCCATTCGACAAGGCAGAATGTTGAATGCTTTCCGGTTCCTACGTTGACCTCCAAAACTGGTGCCAGTCCTCCTCGAGATTGTTGTTGAAACACAGCCCGTGGAATGGAGAAAGAGAAAATTCTCATCAGAAAGCTTAGCGGTGCCTGCATCTCAAATTACTTAATAAAAATAATCCTATCTACCTATTCAATTACCTTAACTAATCTATATTAAATTATTAATGGTACGATAGTCAAAAGTCCCCCTTCATTCTCCCTCCTTGCACAGAGGTTTGCCGACAGCCAGGGTACCGGATAGTAAACCATTGCCGTGCGGATAGTAGACTATTGCCGTGCGGATAGTAAACCATTTGCCGTCCGGAAGCCGTGCGGGTAGTAGACTATGGCCATGCCGCATGGTAAATCATTACCGTGCAGATAGTAAACCATTGCCGTCCGGATAGTAAACCATTGCCGGTTCACCACTGGCCACCAAGGCTTACCTCTGACAACGGACTTTGAAATTCAGGGTCTTTCGGCTATCGTACCCTCAACTTACTTATTCATTACAATTAAGCCCTAGCTTACCTAGAATTACAAAACTCAAGAGCCCAATTCATTGGCCAATCGGCACCCACCCCACCACCTACGTAATGCCTTGGGCTCCAACTTAGTAATAATAATATAAAACTTAAACCCTAAATCTGTTAATGAGTATGTTACAACGTAGCCTTAACTTACCTATTTATTACATTAGGGCCCTAGCTTACCTAAAATTACAAAACTCAAGAGCCCAATTCATTGGCCTTTCGGCACCCACCCCACCACCTACGTAATGCCTTGGGCTCCACCTAATAATAATAATAATGTAAAACTAAATAATTAACCTACCTATCGATACACTTACAGCGTTTTAATTTACATTACAAGATTGTTCCTAGAATTACATTATTGCTCTTAACTACCTATGAAATTAAATTACTCTCAACCTTAGTAATAATAAATTAGAATGTGTATTAAAAATAAAATTACGCTCAAATACTAATATATGTGTTTATGTATGTGTTTGTGTGTGTGTAATACGCTAATGCGTGTAATGTAGATGCAAGAAAAAATAGAAGCAATAAACTTGCGCTGCCTACCTATTCAACTACATTAGTGTTGGATGTTTCCTATCTATCCTACCTACAATTAAAATTATGCCTATCTAACTTACCTATATAGTTACTTAATGTAATTGTGTGTGTGTGTGTGCGCGTGTGAGCATTCTTACTTAATGCTAAATTACAGAGAAAAAAGAATAAAACGTATCCAAGCCAGGCGTGTATTCTTTGCCATTGAATGAATGAACGTAGCCTGACATCTTCCATGATGAACTCTTCTGGAAGCTTCAACCTGAATGAAATGAATAAAATGAAAAAAATCTTATTTAATTAATTTATATGAAAATAGAAAAACGAGCCGCGGTGAAACCCGCCAGCCGAAAAAGTCAGCCAACTGACAAAAAAAAGGAAACGCAAAGAAACCGTAAAACGAACCCCAGCCAGGCGTGCATTTTTCGCCACTGAATGAACGAACGGAGCGTGACATCACAACCATTCTGATCTTTCACGATGAACTCCTCTGGAAGCTTCAACCTGAATGAATGAACCTGAATGAACCTAAATGAATGGAAAAATCTTATTTATTTAATTAATTTAAATGAAAATAGAGAAACGTAAAGAAGCCGACCGGTCGGCAAAGAAAAGAACCTCGAAGAAAGGTATCTATATAGGATTTAAACTCTATATAACTCTATATAACTCTATATAACTCTATATAACTCTATATAACTCTATATAACTCTATATAACTCTATATAACTCTATATAACTCTATATAACTCTATATAACTCTATATAACTCTATATAACTCTATATAACTCTATATAACTCTATATAACTCTATATAACTCTATATAACTCTATATAACTCTATATAACTCTATATAACTCTATATAACTCTATATAACTCTATATAACTCTATATAACTCTATATAACTCTATATAACTCTATATAACTCTATATAACTCTATATAACTCTATATAACTCTATATAACTCTATATAACTCTATATAACTCTATATAACTCTATATAACTCTATATAACTCTATATAACTCTATATAACTCTATATAACTCTATATAACTCTATATAACTCTATATAACTCTATATAACTCTATATAACTCTATATAACCATGCATATTACCACATTCAATCAATAAAAATCCCACTAAAACCAGGAACCACCGCGTACCTGTTGAATGTATGGTGTAAAACAAAACAAAAAAAACACAAAACGAAAAACACACCACCAAGTAGAGTAAAAGAATAGTAGTCCCTAACTTACCTATGTAACTAAATTACCTTATGCCCTAGCCTACCTATATAATAAATTAATCTCAATCTCACCTACCTATGTTTCATTAACTTAACTCAAGACTCATGAAGAAAGAGAAAAAAGAGTAAAACAGAACATAAAATACTACCTCACAAACAAACAAGATGTATGTATGTATGTATGAGCAACCGCTAAAGAACCCACCTAAAATATAAAAAATATAACATACAAACACACAAACCTCATGCAACATATAAACTCTATATAACTCTATATAACTCTATATAATAAAATAAATAAATAAAAAATTGCAAAAATAGAATAAATGAGATCAGACATCCTGCTTCAAGCGAGGCAGAATGCCTGATCTGATTTTCGTGTTTTCTCAGCTCCTATTTATACTCGGTTCAACCATACATTCTCATCATTTCAATCATTTACATCAGTAAAAAACTTATTTAATGTATGTACTAAACTATTATACAGTCTTAACCACAATGATAATAACCGTACTAAATTGACGTCATCGAACGAACGCCTTCGAAACTTTCTGATTGGCTGGTTGAATCTGCTATATTGCTTTTTATATAAACATATAATCTTATTAATTATTTGTAAACATGGATTCTAGTCACTTTATTTATATATATATAATATATATAATTTCATTATAAAAGCATCAGTGCTATATATGTGCGCACGCAGTTCAAATTTTTCTGGGAGAATTAAAAATAGTTTGAGACCACACCTTGCTCAACATCCAATTCCAAGCCAAGCCAAGCCAAGCTGAGCCAAGCTGAGCCAAACTGAGCCAAGCTGAGCCAAGCTGAGCCAATATGCGTAGATTCATAAGCGCTTTATATTAAAATTTTGCTCGCTTTATATACGAACATCCCAATATAACAAATTCTTCATCCTATTTTCAAAATTTTTTGATGCTTTTTAATCAGTCAGGCCACAATCATCATCATCGATATCGCGATGAAATCAAATTGAAAATTTTTTTAAAATTGTTATTAAAAGTAACTAATATTAAGTAAAAAGTTTAAATTTTTCTGAGAGAATTCAAAATAATTTGAGACTACACCATAACATAATTGTACAATTTGAATTTATAAATACAACATTATAAATGTATTATAACTACGTATATCTATCCATCCATCCATTCATCCATCCATCTACCTATATATTACTTTATTTAGTTCTGCCTGCGTATGATATTTGGTCGAATTTATTTGATAGGAATTGAATATAACCTTTATACCGGCTGATTAACTACCATGCAGTAAAATAACTACTGTTAACATGACGTCATTTCCTCCAACGATTTCGCAACCAATTACCCATTCTATTTAATAAATTTTATTTGATATTTTTTAATTAGTCAGGTCACAATCATCATCATCGATATCGCAATGAAATCAAGTTGAGAATTTTTTAAATTTTTGAAAAAAGTATCTCTATTCATTTTATGATACTACTTTGTTCAATAAGATACTGTTTGATACATATAACTAGAATAAATATAACGGCCTTCGCTCACTTTCAACGGTCGAAAAAGGAGCTTATTTTCGGAGGGGAGTTTGAGGGTGATTTTTTATCGTTCGAGTCAAAAGTTACGATCGTATATATATTTTCTAATTACGGAATATTGTTTTTATTTAGAATGTTAAAATTTTAATTCTTTTTAATTGTTATTCAATGTGGTAATTAATTACTTTTAATCAATCCTTCCCATTATTCTAGTTGAAAAAACCTGGTGAGCGGTGTTTCTTCTGAAAGAGATAATGATAAATTAACTAATTTTAGTTTGATAGGATGAAATATTGAAGAAAATTCTTTAAGTAAATTAAAAGGAAGTAGATCTAGAGAGCAAGTTGTAGATGACATTGACAGTAAGATCTAAAAGAATTTTTCATAGGATATAGTATAGTTATAGGGATCTATCGTTACTGACGTTCAACTGATGTTGTTTACCCAATAAGTTCACACTAAATTTTTACTAAAAAGACTGTTATTTCAATAGAAAATAATGTTTAATAAAAATTTCATTAATTTTCTCGTCCGTACTAACTGGCAGACGTCTTCAATTCTACGTCCAAATGTCAATCAATCGTCCTCCCCAGTTGTATCGGCTCGTGGTCACGTAGTCAACAACAACATGGCAGATGTGGTTGTTAGTTCGTATAGCAACTCCACCGCTTCTAATTTTTCGAATCCGTCATCGTCATGTCGGCACCTGACGACGTCTGTTGGTCATAAAGATGACGTGAAAAATGGTTGTAAAAAATCTTTGGTCAATCCGCTTGCCAGTACAAAAAACATCACTAATATCAGGACTGCTTACGGCGGGAAAGTTGTCAACGAAATTGTATGATTCACATTTAATTTGCTTGTCTTATATATTATTGTTAATGTCAAATTTATCTGGCATAACACTAACAAATTACTAACAAGTAATTTAATTAAATACAGTTAGTTTTCAATTTAGCCAAAACCTTTGTCCCCAAATTAATTTTAGACATTAAAAAATGATGGTGAAGATGAAGAGAATGATGAAAGTGACGACGACGATGACGACAAAGAATATTTCAACAAAACTTTCCCAAATGACAAACATCTTCCTAATAATTTTCGTGAAAGAAAGGTCCGACTCTCGTCATTAAGAGTTGATGCTGTTCTTAGTGCTGGCCTAAATATCTCTAGAAGGTTTTGCATAATTTTAGTGATATCTCCTAACTTACTTTTTCATACTTTTGCTTCAATTTCTTACTTATGCAAATATAATTACTAATTTTTTAAAAATTTATTGTTTCATTCTAGTAAAATAGATGACTATTTCCTTGGTAGCAAATTGAAATTAAACGATGGAAAGGTTCTTAAGAAGAGTCTCAAAGTAAGCACATTTAATTTTTTGATATCATTTATTTTTATATATATATAAATTGCCAACATTTTATTATTATTTATGTGTGTATATATATATTTATTTATCTATCTATTGTATGTGTGTCTGTGTGTGTTAAATCTTATATATATACTTAAATTTGTTTGTCAAACATCCATATTATAATGATAACAATAACACACACTTATACGCACACAAACAAACAGACACTAACAAACGACCATGCAAACGAATTAGGTTAAAGAAGGAGACTGCATAGATTTAACGACGGCCACTGAAGATGGCGCTAAAGTCACTAAAAACAGCGCCAGCAATTTAGACAATGCCGCCGATTGCGATGAACCACAAAAATTAAGAAATAAGAGAGTTAGGATTGTTAAAGTACTAGATAAAGATTCAAAGACTAAAAAATATACACTGTATTTGAGGTCATGGAAAGCTGGCATTGTGTAAAATTATATTTTGTGTGTATTTAATATTTCTTTATATTATTTTTATTTTGTTAGATTAGAGATTTTGTTAGAATTATAGATGTTAAATTATTATAATTTATAATTATATTAAATTATATTATGTACGTTTTTAATATTTCTATATATTATTTTTATTTTGTTATGTTATTTATAGTATTATTATTTAGTTAATTGTAATTATTGATACTGCTGTCATCATTGTTAGTATCATAGGTGTATTTAGTTGGTTATACTTCTAATTATTTCTAATTAATATTTGTAGTACTTTCAATCTACTACAGCCAAACAAATTAACTTTGATTTTCTTGTTGTGTTACACGTTAAAAACAATTCATATCTTTAGTTTAAATTAATATAATATTCTTCATGTATGTACGTATAAATAGGTTAAATACTATAGGTGTTCATTTTTGTAGTTTTTATTTTTATCATGGATATATTAACCTAATAAATATATCCAAAGTGTTTGCTTGTGTGTGTGTGTGTGTGTGTGTGTGTGTTTATGTGCATGCTGTCTTGTTTTACGTAAATAAACATTAACCATCATTGTATATGTTATACATCCATAGAGTATATACGCGAATGAATAATTGCATTTATGACAGTCTAAATCATAATATGTGGAAAAATAATCGGGAATGCTGTTGTATCTTCTGATGACGTCAAATTTCAATTGAAAACATTACAAAGAACCAATAAACAATTACTGCGTGTATTTTATTTTCTCTATTCTGTCTATGGTAAAGTTTTACGATAATAAAGGGTAAACAAAGTGACAGTATTTTTTACAACGCGTCACTAACTAATTGTATATATATTGATTAGGGATTAGTGTATGTACGGTGCGTATGTTTATTATTTAAACTCTAAAAGTTTACTTTATGAATGAATTAAAAATCGGTTAATTTCGATGGTTTGTGAAGTTATAAATTAACAAATTTAAAAGTGGAGTTAGTTAACAACTTACAAACAAAATTACCAAATAATTGTTATTTCACTTACGTTACGGTTACGACGATTCTAGCTTCCTGGATTCTCCGGAATTAGTTTTTTTTACTGTCATTTATTAATCTCAATTATGGCGAAAGTATCAAAGAGTGCCTTTTCAAATATCATCAAACACATCGACACGCATAACAGAGTGGGTATTCTTAATTTAATTTATTTTTAATTTAAATATTTTTTAATTTGATCAATGTTTGTGATTTGCCATTTGATTAATTTTACCATTATTTTTGGTTAATTATTAAATTATTTTTATTATATTATTTTATTATTATATTATTTTATTATTATTATTGTTATAGATTCTATTTTTCATTATAGATAGTAGAGGAAAAAGAATGCTGGAGGCAGAGGCGTGCTGAACTATCCAAAGAAAGATCGTTATCAGGATCTACTAATAATAAAAATAATTATGGCAACTATAATAATAATAATTATTATAATAGTTGTAATGATAGAAAACAATATATGGTATCATCTTCTTCGTCCTCTTACAATTTTAAGAGGAACCATTATCATCATCGTCGTCCTAGTTCTGACAATGACGACGACGACGATGATGTTGGTGGTGGTAGAAGTGGTAGTAGCAATAGTAGTCATCAAAAGTATGGAATACCAAAGTCGAAAGGTTATTTATAATTTGAGAATTTAATTTATATTTGTCTAATTTCCACCTCAATGTGATGTATTATAAATCTGTTGTATTTCTCTCTTACAGCCTACATGGATCAAATAGACAACAACAACAGTAATAATAATAATAGGTATAATAATAATAATAATAAAAGAGGTAATGATAGTAGTAGTAGTAGAAGTGCCTACAACAATGTTTGGTTGAGGGAGTTTGATAGACTGGAGTCAAGTATGGCTGATAAGTAAGTGCTGATGATGATATTGATGATGATGATGATGTTATAGATAATGACGATGATCTAGATTGATAATTTTTTATTGCTTATATAATGATTTTAGAGTCGAAGAAATTTCTCATCATCATCATCTACGTCAAACAATCATCATCATCTACGTCTCAGCAATCATCATCATCATCTACGTCTCAACAATCATCATCATCTACGTCTCAACAATCATCATCATCATCATCTACGTCTCAACAATCATCATCATCATCTACGTCTCAACAATCATCATCATCATTTACGTCTCAACAATCATCATCATCATCTACGTCTCAACAATCATCATCTCAACACTCATCATCATTTTTAGGTGGGGTCATACAGGGTATAAGGAAATGCATCCGGAAGATTTCCAGCCATCACCCTCACCATCACCCGATCAAAATGATTATAATGATACTCGTCGCCACAGTGGACGCCGTAACAACACTGAATGTTGCAGTCGCGACAATGGCGACATTGAAGATAGAAAGAAGAAAAAGAAGACGGACAAAAAGAAAAAAAGAAAAATGTTCACAAAAGATTCTGATTTTGAAGAATCATTGAGAGGTAATAAGAATAATAATAATTATTATTATTATTATTGATGTCTGTTATTATTAATGTTATTTTTATGCTAATCATTCCTTCACTTTTTCAGGACACAAAGACCGGAAGCGGAAGTTGTCAGCGCCTTCCTCCCTGTCGTCATCATACTCTCCAAAGAAGAAGAAGAAGAAAACAAAGAAGAAAAAACATAAAAAATAATATTTCTTGTTCATTACTGAAATTGCTATTATTGTTATTATCATCATTGTTATTAATATTTATATTATTATTATCGTTATTATGCTTGCTATAATAATAGTAATAATAATAATAATTATTATTCTTATCAGGCTTGTTTTTCTTCTCTTGATTACGTTCTCACTATATTAATGTAAATATTGACGTGTAAATAAATAGTTTGAAAAAAATTTACCAATAAAATTCGTTTGTTTTGCCCTAAATGAATAATTTATACATAAATAATAATAATTATTAATAATATTAACAATTAATAATTAACATAATTGAATATTAATAATTTTTATTCAGTGAGCAACTGAAACCGGCTGTGAAAATTTTTAAATAGTTCCGTTACTAATTTGATGATAAATATATATTTTATTTGAATTGGCATTTAACTTGTTCAATTAATTAATTAGTTAGTTATTTATAGTCGTAATTATTGTAATTATAGATAATAATTGCAAATATAATAGAAAATAATTTCGAGAAGATGTTTGAAGGCGAAAGTTTATCTCACGGTAGCGAGTCGATCAATGCCAGCGATATTGAGAGATTGAGAATTCATGATAAGATTTTGGAGTTCCATGGTTGGTTTGTTGGATGATTGGTTGGTTCGCTGGCTGATTAGTTGGTTGGTTGTGCGTGTGAATTATTGGTCTATTGTTGACTGGCCGGTTATTTTCGCGGAGTATGATTGGTGGCTGTTTTCGTGGTGATATGTGGTGATTGGTTGAATTCTTGGCTGATTGATTGACTGATTGGCTAGAAAGTTGATTGATTATTTGATTGGTTAGCTAGTTGGCTGAGTGCTTGAATGAATGATTGGTTGGGAAACATTTGTAGTTTTAGGAGTTTGTTTTCTTAGAAAATGTGAACAAACAACAGAATTCATGAACAGAAAAGCAGCAACGACTAAGTCAGTGGTGATGGCCAACAACGCAAACGAATATTGGAAACGGCGCGAGCCGATCTCCGACTGGCTAAAAAGCGCGGACCGCCGGCTAAAACCGCTATACATAGTCGACAATAAAAGCATTTATGGAACTTTCTCTGAAATCTTCCAGAGGGAGAATGGCGAGGAGGAAGAAGAGGAAGATGAAGACGGGCAGGGTGTCTTTAAAGAGAGCGGTAGTGGCTTTTCCAACTTGGCTTATGAGAGGTTGGCTTGCTGGAACCATCATCATCGTAATAATCATTTCCTTTTCTTGTTCTTCTTGTTCTTTTTCTTCTTCATCATCGCCAGCACCATTATAATCATGACAGTTACATGAGGTTCACCCCAGCCCAGCCCTCGGTTGTATCCACGAGAGTAGCAATGCCAAGAAGGAAAAATGATTCCAAAGAAAAATTCGGAGATGGCGATGAAGATGAAGAGGAGAAAGTTGATGAGGAGGGCGAAGAAGAAAGAAATGATGACAATGATGAGCAGACTGGCCTGCTTGAATATGAGGATGAAGATGCGGCTGCTGATGGTGATAACGAAGACGACGGGGGGGATTTGATGTGTCTGAGGGCTTGTGTCATCGCCCCGGACGGTTGGTGGGTCGCTGTCGGGAGGAAGATTGTTGACTAGCTGGTTGATTGATTGATGAATGGGTGGATTGGTGGATGAGTGTGTGATGATTTAGTGAGTTAATGAAGGAGCAATAAATTAATCAGCTAATCAATCAATCAATCAATCAATCAATCAATCAATCAATCAATCAGGCTACCTACCGAACTCAGCTTTCAAAGGTGGTTGCAACGTTGTTGACAAGCCGATGCAAGAGCTGCGAGAAAAACTGGTCGAGAAATATACAATAAAAACTAAGGTGATGTTGACTGTGACTAAGATGATGATGATGATGATGATAATGATGATGATGATAAGGATGGCGATGATAATGATGACAACAACGATGATGATGATACGATGATGATAATGATATTTTGATTCCAGGTTAGGAGATATAACAATTCAGCTTTTAGTGAGCTAATTAGAAACGTTCCACTATAATGAGACACTCAGATAAATTAATTTATAATTATAAAATGAAACACTCAGATAATTAATTAATAATTATAACTCTATTATATTAATTATAATTTTTCTATTAATATTTACGTAATAGGACATTAAATATGGGATATAATATTGATTAGCGAACGATCATTCTGTTGTATTTTGTATAAATTTATTCATCATTAAATTACATACATTGAATAGAAAAAATAACGAACCATAGTATAAAGGCAGCCAACTATTTTGGCTCGATCAAAGTTTACAACCCCCACGGTGAATTTTGTCCCCCCAAGGTAAGTTTCGCCCCCCCTAAGGTAAATTTTGCCCTCTCCCAAAGTAATTTTTGCCCATCATTAAAGTGGTTCATAACCCCCACCATACATTCATCTGACATACTTGAGTTCAAATTAAAAACTAATGTTACGTAACTTAATTATTTTTAAAATGTTTCGAGAGATGGCAGGGCTGTAAGTGAGATCTCAATCAGACATTTATTATACCCCAATTATACATGATTGATTAGTTTGTGCGATGTTAATTAATTATTATTGGATTAATTACTGGCTACTTTGCGTTTGCAACAACAAAAGGTAAGTAACAAATACAAATGTCAACTCAAAATGTCTAAGTATTTGCCAACTTCAGACCATTTGAATAGTCTTGTCAAATCCTTTCTTAGTACTTCTGCATCTATCCAGTTATTGACCCTATGCAAACAGCTTCGTCTCGTTCGCAAATTTTGATATTTTTGACCTTATGCCATGGTGTAGATTAATAGTAGAGGGCTAGGGCTACTAATAATTCTAACTTCAATTAATTGAACAATACAAAACTTTCCAAAAAATTCTAGTAAGGAGAATTGAAAAGACAATTTTTAAATTGATTATTGCCAACAATTCGGTAGAATTCATACAATTATATATATATGTGTATAATATATATATATATTATATATATATATCTCTTAAATCTTAATTTCTCCGTTATTCGAATTTCAAGACACACACATAAACACACATTTATATATATATATATACATATATATATATAAGTATATATATGTATATATACACAAACACTCACACATACACAGACATATATATATATATATATATATATATATACGAACGAGGCTCTCTTTAATACAAATGTCGTATATATATATATATATATATATATATATATATATATATATATATATATGACATACAACGTTTAACAAAGAAAAATCAGTTTATGTATATTTATATATATAAACATCTTTATATTTATACATATAGTATATTATATATATATATATATATATATATAATTGAAATTGAAATTGAAAAGAGAAGTTATTTTCATATGGACGCTGTTGTTAGTATCTCGATAGATGTTGATGATGTTGCTAATGTTATTGCTGTTGCATTTTGTTGTTGTTGATGTAAATGTAGTAGTTGTTGATGTTGTTGCTGTTTTTCTCACGGAAATTTTTAATAAGATTGTAAACTCGTTTTCGTCTAGTTATATATTTATAAATACACTAGTGGGATGTCTGGCTTATTTAATGTTGTTGATATTTGGGATTGGTTGTTGTTGTTGATGCTGTTGTTGTTGTTGATATTGTTGATGTTGTTGTTGTTGTTGTTGTTGTTGTTGTTGTTGTTAATGTTGTTGCTTTTTTGTTATTGAGGATAAAAATTTTTGTTGATGTCATAGATCATGATGGTTCTAAATGTGTTTTAATCTGATTCAAATTGAAAATCAATTAGCTTTTGTTGTTGTTGAATAATGATCAAAATATTTACAATAATAATAAAGCAATTATAACAAATATTAATTAAAATAAGTGATAACATTAATATTTAACATTGGTATTTCGAAAATTTCAAGTTTTTTCAAGTTAATTAAAAAAAAATTTAATTATTAGTCAAAGTATATCCGTAGGTTAGTAAGTATGTTTGTTTGTGTTTGTATGCATGTGTCTTTGTGTGTATGTATATATGTGTGTGTGCTTTTTTGTATGTATGTATGTGTGAATATTTGTATGAATGTATGTGTGTCATGTATCCACATGTGTTGTTTCTTGTTATTGTTGCTTTTAATGTTTTATTATTATTATTATTATTTATTAGTATTATCGATTTTCATTATAATATGTTAAAATATAAATAAAATGAATGCATTGTGAGTAGAAAAAAAACTTGCTATGTACAAGGCACACACAGATGTTTCTGTTTGTTGCACGAACAACAACAATAATAAAAATAATAATATTTAATATTTCATTAATAATAATAACAATAATAATTATAAATAATCTTAACCATCGTCGGCTTTATCATCGTTATAATGTAGATTAATAGTAGGAATGGTGATGACTTTTACAAAGAGGAAAATTATTTTATAACACTCAAATATGGCATCAGCGACATGAGAGAGAGAGAGAGAGAGAGAGAGAGAGAGAGAGAAATACAGACAGAGTGAGAAGGAAAGAAAACAATCAATCGAGAGAAAGAAAAGAGTAAGGAAGATAAGAGAAAGAGAGAGAGAGAAGGCATAACTACTATAAGCAGGAAACAAAAGTATACAGAAAATATGAAGAAAGAGAAAAAGAGAGATGGAGAGAGAATGGGTAAGACTGAAAGGGTAAAAAGAAGAAAATAAAGAGAGAGAGAGAGAGAGAGAAAAAGATAATTTATTACCGTTATTAATATGGCTGGAATTTTACTACATTACTTCGCTTAGTTAAGTTAGTTGCTATTGTTGAGGTTTTCAAATCATTATTATAACTATAACTATAATTATCATCATCATTATATCATTATTATTATAAATGATATTATCACCCTCCCTATATCATTGTTATGGTGTTTTGATAGTATAGAATGCCTAAAAATTTCTAGGCTACTTCAAACTTATAAACAATCATCATTTATTTAAATACTTTTCCATACATACAGGCAATCATACACACACATACGTACACACG